GGCCGCTACGCTACACTACGCTAAACGGCCCACTAACGTTAGCATAGCAGCCCTCAGAACAGCGCGCTGCTGGTGCCACTACGCTGCGCTACAGGGCTTTTAGCGGCAAAAATGGCCAAAAAACCACTAAAATGCGCTGTAGCGCAGCGTAGTGGGCCCTTTTTTGCGGCCCACATGCGTAGTGTTAGCGCAGATACAGAAATCTGCGCTAACACTACGCTACAATGTAGCGTATTTGTGCTACACTACGCTAGGCTAACACTACCATTAGCGTAGCTGGCCCAGCGTTGAGAGTGTACACTCTTGAACCAAATCATTCTCAGCCCCACAGTAAAAAAACATACTTCCTTTAAGGGGCTTGAAAAAAAAAACTCTCAAGGATTCATCAACAACTCCCAAATACCATCAACAGATGTCCTTGGGAGTTGTTCTTCCAAACAGATGGCCATCCATTTTTGAATTCATGGGAGTTGGCTCCCCAAACCACCCCTTGCTCTTGAGGGGGTTTGGGAGTTGCTGCCACTTGACTGGAAGGAAATTCCTCTGGCCAATGAGGTAGAACAACCTCATGAACCGGAAAAGGAATTCCTTTTCAAGTCAATGAGGTACAACAACCTCATCAACCGGAAGGATCCTTCAAGTCAGTGAGGTTGTTATATGTCATCAACTAGTCAGTGAGGTTGCTATACATCACCAACCAGAAGGAATTCCTTCTGGTCAGTGAGGTTGTTATACCTCACTGACTGGAAGGAAATCTTTCCGGTTGGTCAATGAGGTACAAAAATCTCATTGGCTGGAAGGAATATCTTCTGGTCCATGGGGTTGCTGTGCCTCATCAACCAGAGTGGTAGCAACTCCCCCCCCCCCCCCTTCCCAAGTGTGAGGGGTGATTTGGGGAGCTGACTCCCAAAAAATCAAATGTCAAAACATTAAGAGTAAAAATGGATGGAGGAACAACTCCCAATGGACATCCATTGGAGTACAAATTATGTAGTGTTTGCAGCCCTGATAGTAGCTTTCCCCTATGCTATGTGTGCTACAGCACCAAAATACCACTGAACACTGCAGTGCTGCAGCACAGTGGTCACATTTTCTTTTGTTAGTATTAGCACCATAACTTTTGCAATTTTTTTTTGCTGGTTGGATTTCCAATGATTTACCAAATCACACAATTCCTGTGAACATTGAATAGTCAACATCAAATGCTTAGATCTTATCAAAGGCCCAAACATGTTGCTTCAATGAGTATTACTGATTTTGAGAACATCACAAAAAAAAAACAGGAAATTCCCTGAAAATTTCAACTGATGGATACTTTGAACATGAATGAAACCAGGCTCTACTTGATCTAATGTCTGTGATTGTCAGAGTGGTATATTGGATTCAAGTATACTCAAGTAACAATGAGCTATCCATGTCATTTGATTGATAAAACTGTCTGTTTAATTGTTAACCATTTTAAGCTGATTACTCTCCCCTCCTTTTTCTGATAAATAGCATTAATGATTTCAAACCATCATGTAGAGCAACCTAAAATTGGCAAAGACCATACCTCATCTAAGCTTTCAAAAGCTTAGCACCTTTAGGCAAATGTATCTTGTGACTGAAAAGGGGGTATTTGTGGCTAGCTGACAAATTCACTAATATAGGTAATTTGCAGCTACAAGGTCTAAATGGATAACCTTACAATTTGCCCCAAGAAGATTTTCTTTGAGCATTTGACTATGTTAGACAGTATGGATTGGAAATAGGTATGAGTGACTTTTCCACCCCACAGAAACTTTAGGGTAAAGCAGCTTCATTGACTGCCTTGCTACGGTGGTAAGTTTTGTTGCTTGGTTAATCACAGGGCTCTCTTCTTAAGTATTTGCATCAGAATCTTTTGTTCAAAATATTTTCTTCATAGTGGACTTGATTCAAGGTCTTCAAACAGGGGGTCAATGAACGCTATGAGTATGTATACCTTGATTCGAGCATCTCGTGTTCATGAACTTACACAATTGTACAAACTACCCTTCGGCTGTGTGGAAGATGCCTAAATTCCGTTAAGCTGATCAAGATCAAGAAATACACATCAGTCAACACCGCAAGCAGGTTTTTTTAATATAAAAAAGGGAAAACGTTGAGAAAAACAAATAGGAACTCAACTATATTCCTTGCCAAGTACCCAAATTCAACTGGCCTGGTATTAGGAATCGACCGATGAGAGGAAATGAGAAGTTATGATCAATCCGCTGCGATGGTGGAGATCTAGAGAACAATGGAAATTACCTTTGGTAACTGGTACCGAAATACTGGAGCCAATTAACGAGGCTTTGGTGTGAGATACAGAATCGTCTGGCCCCTGTGAGAAACGATACAGTCATCAGTTCTCCAGGAGGTTTTCGTAGATGAGTAGCTCTCATCCAAAAGAAGGATCGGTCTTTGAGGAGGAAAAACGAAAACGTTGGAAGATTGAAGGACAACCTCGTCTGTGTGTCTCCATTTCAAGCTTTCGGGAACGATGTGATCAAGAGCCATATCCATATCTTTTCGAACACTGTAGAGATTTCAATCGAGCAAAAAATAACAATAGCGACCTCAAGGTAAGAACTCTCATCAAGATCTGCACAATCCAAATAAGAACAAGAATAGTATCCTCACTCGGAATCATACTGGTTGGATTTTGGAGAAAGGAAACGGCAAGTCATTATCACATCATGGGATGGTGTTGATTGATATCATACAAATTGGATTGGTCTTACATTTTCGTTGATGCTCAAAGCCGCACTGGTATGTTGAATGAAAAAATGTGCCACGCCTATCTGAAGTAACCACCCAAACAAACGAATGATTAGCGACACAATATGATGAACGTCTGTGAAGGATAGAATATGACTTACATCGCAATTTTTGAGTCCTTCTTTAATGTTCCTGGCAACTTCTTCGGTCACTGAGAATGGTAAGCAAGATCATCAAATCGATTGAGAATCACTCCTTCAGCAAAAAGATATGTATTCTCCAGACTTCCATGTTTTTTTTTCGTAGATCACTGACCCAGATGACAGCTTCGTGGGCAAACGTGAACCCATGAAAAGCACAAAGCAGATTATAATAGCACGTCCCCTGATCATCAGCTTATTTCTGGCTCATCTCAAACGATAGAAGAAGGATAGGAAAATGAAGATCACATCTGCTTACCCTTTAGGACGTTTGGCCAAGGTGAATGTAGTCTGGACGATATTTGAGATAGGATCAATCCGAGGCCATCCGACACGTGTATCAAGCTGAAAAAGACTACAAACTAACCTGAAAAGGCATCCTGATAGCAGCTGAGAAGGGCGTCAAGACAAAGACTCGGTGCGCTGACTACAATCGGCCAATGATTGGATAAATAAGTTGGGATGAACTCGGTGTCGGGCGCCGGCGTGGTCGGGTGTCCGTAGCTATTCCGTCGCTCCGAACCGCAGAAATCTTTGGCACAGATCTCCCGGCGTCCGGTCCGATTGGCGATGGTCAACAACAACCCAGCAAACCCCCTTCATCTTCAGTCATCTGTAATGCTAACTGCTGCAGCTACTTACATGAAAGAAAACCAACTCTTCCCTTGTACTGGTTTAATGGGATCGAATGGTGGTAATGCTCAACTTTTCTGCGCAACAAGAAATTTGTTATTCGAAGAACCAAATTGTGTTCATGATCATGACTACTACTTCTAATTTCCTGTGGATATACTCCTGTGCTACGAATTGTGGCTGCTCCTTCGTTGGATACTCCATTCCTAATCATCTCAAAAGGGCCACCAACTCAAGAACAAAACCCAATGAGCAGCAATAATGAGACGGTAAATCTTTTGGAGGCCAGATCTCTTTGAGGCAATGTTGTTGTTTCTTATTTCCAAAAAAAAGTCAAACCAAGGGTAATTCCAAGACTCATTTTTTTTCCAGGAGAATGGCAATCCACGCCTCAGATAAGCTCCTGGCAGATTTCAGGTGATGAACCACCATGTGTTATGATTTCATGCATCAATTATAAACCCTGGGTCTAACGTGGATACTTTTGAACGCCATTACACTAAATCTAGCGATAGTACATATCTATGAGATTTGTGCAAGCAGGAGTCTTTCAAATATTGGGTCACTATTCGACGTTCTTGAAAAATCTGGGGAAATCGCGTTGATGTTGATATGTTATGAGTTTACTAAGACTTGAAAGTATGTAGCGTAGAATTTGTCATGGTAGTTTCATACTGTTCAGTTACCCATGAGAATCGCATGAGCACTCGGACGGGAGATTCTTAAGACGTGTAAGTGTTCGCGACCAGCTCGACGCTTCATTACAATCTATGAATAGTGTCAGAGTCTTTTGGTCAGTTTGATAATGAGATCGGCGTGATAGTAACTGCTAACCACTGCTACAAAGCCAGCGTCTTCCATTCGTTTGACGATCTCATCGGGCTTGTTCTCCTTGATGGCCACAATATACAAGATTCCTCGCTGAGGGTGTAATATACGGTCGAGGTTCCCTAGGAGTTGGTTAGTAAGCTTCATCCCGTCACTTCCACCTGCCCAGCTCGCTGAGATTGTATGATTCCCTCGAGCGACCTCGTATTCCTCATCTTCGGTCTCAACATAAGGCGGATTGAACAGCAAAAGTTCGATGGTTTGATCGAGTCTTAGGCATTCTACAAGCGAAGTTTGAATCACGTTTGGTTGCGGAAGTGCGTTCTGGCTGAACGTGGAAGCCGTTGCCTTTAACGCAAGTTGATTGATATCGGTGCAAAAATGAACTGTTACAGCAGAGCTAACCCATGGCAGTTGAAAAGATCAGCGCTATGTACAGGTCGGCCAGTGTTGAAGGAAGGCCAGTATTCAAAAAAAAAGGAAGAAGACTGACGGGTTGAGATCGAGCGAAGAAGTTGCTGAATAAACACTGAAACGCAGCCGCTACCAGATCTGCTTAACGCCAATATCCGAGATAGTGATGTGGTAAGGACAGGCCAAGCGAAAAGAATGCAGAGGATGTACTTGCCCAATCTCAAGACAGATGAACGGTCGGAAGCTGACCAGACGCTGAGCATCAGCCTCTAGCGCGTCGAGAAGGATGAACGTGTCTTCTGTGAAGCATCAGTCAGGATAGTCAGTTCACGCCCACTATCGATTGAATTCAGAAACCTGTCATAAAGGGAGCTCACCTGCTGGTTCGTAGACATGCTGGAAGTCTTGTGTGGTCAAATGCGAAAGGTCGGGAGTGGGATGCATCTATGTATTGGAGGAATCTGGATTGGGGTGGCACGCGTCGGGGATAGCGCCGGGGGATGCTGGCAACGGCCCGGAGGCGAACTTCACAGTAGGAGTTAGGACTGGGCCGGCAGGTGGGACAGGGCGCAGGCTGCCGCTGAACGGCAACCACTCAAATGAAAAAAACACCACTTCCCCTCATTTTTTGTCATTCCTTTCTTCTGAGAAGTACGACAAAACCACAACATGTCGTGTTGGGGGTTGCAATGATGCTAATTCCATTCAGGCACGCTCAACCTGACCTCGAAGATATCTGAAGTAAAACTCATCCTGATTACGCTGACAAACACAGAACATTTTGACTGACCATCATCCACCATCTCGAAACTGTTGCTTAGAAGTTAATTTCATGCACTACCGGTGTGAGAATTTCCAGATGACACTTTTTTTAATCCACTAAAATAAACAGCAATCCTGAGTTCTCCTGGTTTTCCTTCTGGGCTTGGTGGCCATATCCTGTTGACACACATCATCATAATCGGTTACAGATGTTCATGCAAGGTCCCTTTTTTGGGCGGACATAGTTTTTGCTTCACGTAGAGAGTATACAAAATTTAAACAATAGTTATAAGAATATGAAAACTCAGGCTGTATCATACTAATGGTTTGTCAGGCTTGCTTCCGAGCTCGATTTGTCAGGCCTGCTATCTGCAGCTCGTGAGTCGTATCAGGTAAAGCAAAGCAGCCGTTTGTCTTACAAGCTTTGAGGAATAGCAAGAACTAGGAAAAGCTGTAAACTCGGGTCAACTTGTTTCCTAGGCTCTAGTACCTGCAAGTTGCAACTCGTCTCAAGGAAAGAAAAGAAAACGAGGAGTACAAGTTTTGAGCAATAGCAAGAACAAGGACAAGTTGGAAGCTCTGACCACATTGTATCACTTGTTTGCGAGGCTCTGGAGTGTAGATAAAACCCTTGTCCGAGATCCTTCCTACAGGCAAGTTAGATGCTTGTCTCAGGGAAGAGAAACTGTTGAAGTACAAGCTATGTAGGATGACCAGGACAGCATATTTATGTAGAGAGGTTCACTACCCCACGATCATACAGTGTAACAAATGGTTTCAAAATTTATTTGCCATCAAGACTCTTGTATAGTCCAAACACCTGAGAGCATACATTGGCACTTCTCACCAATCAAGAAAGAATTGGGCTAGATTAAAAACCACAGTCTCTCCATTTTTTTTTAACCATTTCAAATCCCTTGTCATCACTTTTTTCATTATCTTGCCTGATTTCAACTAGCAAAAAAGAGAGCCAAGGGCCACCTACAATGTATCTAGTCATGTTATTAACCAAGATCTTAGTTGTCATTCAACTCTTTCATTTGCAGAGTGTTTCATCCCACCCACTTTCACATTTGAATAATTTGGCAAAGAGGTCATTAGCTATGGATGCCAGCAAATTGACCCATCCAGAAGAAAAATTGGCAGTTGATGCAGATTGTATGCCAAATATTTTGTCAGGAATTTGTTTAAGATATAAGCTTTTGGTTTAATGCTGATAGTTGATGACTTGAATTTATTAGCTGCTGTGAAAGGTGAAGGGATATCTTGTTTGTCTCCATTTTCTGGCCTTCCACTCCTTGGCCCAAGATACCACATCTCTGATCAAAATCCTTGTCAAAGCTAAATTAATTTTATTATCCTGGATCTTTAGCTTCTAGAAAAATCAAACATCCAGATGGTTAGTTTTGTGCACCAGGTCAAATTGTGTTTTTTTGCATGTAAGGATAATTCTGATTGTTGTTTTTTATCCATTGAAACATACTGTATCACATGTATCTTTTGATTTCATGAATGGTAAGTGTTTCAAATCATTTTAAATCTATTCCTATAATTCCAGAACATCTGAACTGAATCTTGAAAATCAAACTTATTAGCAACAGAAATTTCAATTCCAATGGATGAAGAAATAAAAATTTCTCAAGATGAAAAGGGTAGTTGGAAAGACCATTGATCTTTCAGTGTAAATTCAGGACAACCAAACAGCAAGTATTTAGCCAAATTTCTAAGCAGAAATGAGCAGCACTCACTCAAATTTTCCTACATATCCATTAACAAATTAATGAAAACTCTTCCTTCCCAGAATAAAAGGAAGTATGTTCCAATATTCATTAACAATGAAAAGGAATTCATAAGCTATGACACATTCAAACTGTTTCTGGAGTTTTCTGATAAGAAATACTACAAAGATTTCATTGAAAAATTAGATGATTCTAAAAAGAAGATCTTTGAAGATTTTTCCCAAAATGCTGCAAACAAATTTCACTGGAACACAAACTATGGAGGAAAATCATAAATATTTCAAGGAGTTGTTTTCAAAATTGGAAAGCCAGAAAAAGGAAATTATATTTCAATATATAGAGTGTATTAGGGAGATAAAAGATGATGAATTATCTGCTAAAGGAGATGAACTACCAGATTGTATGATTTTCTCCCCTTTCCTAGTTTACTCTTTGAAAAACTAAAAATATTTGAGTGATTATCTTTCCTTTTTGACTGCTGATGAAAGTTGATTATCATGTTTTTTCAGCTTTTGAAATACTTAAATCTCCAGAAGGTTAGCATTAAATCTCACTGGTTTTCTTTTTCATTCAAGGTGCTTTGTTCTCAAGATTTATGCCTTGCCATGAATCCTGAGGTTTTAGATGAATCTAGTTCCTCATCCAATTTTCAGGATGCAAGTAGTAAGTGATATGAAATAAATACAAAAATATGAAAGGATCTAATAGCTGTTTACTGATCATGAATTTGTTCCAAATTAAAAATTGAATCAAACCAATCAAGAAAAAAGAGTACCTCAAGTGAACTCATTGCCAAACTTTCTGCTTGAGGACCAAGACTTTATGGATGACTATGATAAATTAAAGGACTTTTTTGATGATTCTGGAAGCAAATTATTATCAAGACTTGTACCCAATCTCATACCCAATCCCCATACACAACCACTCAGATATTCTTTTCATCAAATCAACAAGTTATTGGAAGAAACTAAAGACAAAAAGGCTACTTTCTGGAACTTTATGAAGAAATATGAAAATTTGTTCCACTATGACACCCTGAAGTTATTAATTAAACCTCCTTCTGTCTCACTCTTCAACAATTACATAAGTGAATTAGATTATTCTGAGAAACAAATAGATGTTGAAGTTTTTACAAAGGCTGCATTATTCAGAACATCCACACCCAAATCAAAGCAATCAATGGAAGAAGGTCATGACAGCTTGAGTGAATTTCTGATAACCTTAAAAGAGTCTAGGAAGAAAATTTTGTTCAAATACATGGATGTTGTAAAAAAATCCTCAGAAGATAAATTCTTTAGCCATATGTGATATACATCAGATCCTTTACAAAAAAAGTTTTTCTCCAGCTAAATCTTGAATGGTATTGGACTGAAGAATGAAAAAAATCGCAAACACATGCCTTTTTTCTTATCTTTGATCATTTTCACAAGTGGAATTTCCCTTGAAAAACTTTTCATTAAATTCTGAAGAAATAGGCTCTGCAGCTCTTCCAAGAAAGGTTTTCCAATCTGAAAAAAAAATTCCTCCGCAAAAATATTTTTTTTCTCTACACATGTGCATAAACCACATCAACTCAATAGTAATCAACTGACTCAAGGGACTCCCACCTCAAAGTGTGGGATTGTTTGATGCAAGGCTCAAAAAATTGGCTCTGAGATAGTTTAATTCTTGTTGATTTGTCAAAGCTTATGCATAGGGAGCATGAGACTTGACCCGGAAGAAATGTTTTGAGGAATGTATTTGTTTTGGACATGGACAACCTTTTCCAAGCTAGCTGTAAAAATTCCTAGCAATTTTTAACCATCCGTGCAACCAAACTTTGAGGTTTTGTGATGAGTGATGATAAAGCAAAAAACAATTATGTGGGTATTTGTGTTGAGTTTTGAGTATCTTTCCTTTCTTTCGTTTTCATTTTCAATATTTCTCTCTATGTCTGCATATTTCCCTCTATGTCTCAATATTTCTCTAAATGTCTGCACATTTCTCTCTATGTCTGCATATTTCTCTCTATGTCTGCATATTTCCCTCTATGTCTCAATATTTCTCTAAATGTCTGCACATTTCTCTCTATGTCTGCATATTTCTCTCTATGTCTACAACAAAACTTTCACCTACTACAAACATTTCACCAGCCCATTATAAGTATAACTGGGGAAGCTCATGTGGAAGGATAAGTTTCCTCATCCTTCTACATACCATCCCAGGTATGTGGTTTCATTAGTCTTTTTTTCAAATGGAATTAATAGGAGGTTTCAGGGTTGCTTGCAAGTCACTTTGAACCAAAGACCATGCATGATGAGTTTCCAAGATGGATTTCTACTGGTAACATATAACCTTGCAATTGATACTGGCAACTAAAAATGAATACTTATTTGTGCAGATTCAATTTCAAAACTTCATGCAAGACATTTGCACTCAACTCTGAATACCGCTATACTTCAACAAACCATCATATGCTTTCCCATTCTATTTCTGTCTCATTAGGTTATGACCCCAGTGCTTACTGCTAATCTCAAAAGAGGATGTATTGGTTACAACCGCCTGCAGCATAATGTATTGGTGGACCTGGCCAAAGTAAAATTGGTCTGGAAGACCAATCTTATATTGGTTAACTCTGAACAAACCTACTGCTAGTGGTTTTAACCAATAGAACCTCTTTGGAAGTGCTTATTTAGTATTTACTTGGATAGGCACAAACTAGAAAGATCAAATTCTTCACATGTTGGACATACCACTATTGGAAGCTCTGAAATCTTACTCAATCAGAACTCTCTCTTCTGCAGACACAAAAACATCTAATCTTCCCATCAACTTTTCTTCTTACTCTGAATTGAATTTGGCACACACCATCCCTAACAGCTAACAGAAAACCCACTAGCTGTTAGCAAATTTATGCTACACACATAGCTGGCCCATGATTTGGACAGCTTCCGAACCACTATTGTATTAATTTATTCTATAATTCCCAAAACTGGGTCCTGGAAGCCAGTGGACATCTCTTGGTGGTCTGGTGGACATTTACCAAAGTTGTGATTTGTTTCTCCAAATGTGGATGTATCCATTAACCAGGTTGGAAGACTCATTATAGAGTGCAAAAAAAATAACTTTCCAAGGTACATTGTTGGATCTGGGTGTCTCTTTGCCCCAATTTAATTAGAAAACAACATGTGAGGAATAGATCAAGGGAAACATGAAAACTACATCCACCTATTACAAATGATTTCCGGGGTTCAGCTTGTAGTTCATACAAACACATTTCTGGACACGAATATGTAATCAGAGTCTGCTAGGGTTGAATTGGGGTGGCTTGCAAGGGATCATCAAAGCTGCATGGTGTCTTGATGGCTATTCAAATGAGGCCGGCCACTCTTCTCAGCAGTTTTGAAGGTCCCACAAGCCCAAGCCCGTGAAACAATCACGGAGGCTGTGGTTTGTCCAGAGCCCGTGATCCTAGCAGCTCAGCCATGTGACATCCCAGCTTTGACCATGCTGGCAATTCAAGCCTTCTGATTGGTTGTGAGGTTGGGTGGTCCTTGTATACATCCCATCAAGTTGGTTCCTGGTCACAATGAATGAAAAAGAAGAGAAAACTCAGAAAAATAAGAAAAAAATAGAGATTCTAACTTGATTATATCAATATGCTGTTCAAGGTATTGATCTTGATTGGCATTGATGCTTTTACAAGTATGAACTTCATTTGGAGGTCAATTGTTGATGAATTGGTGATCCAATGAGTTGAGGCAAAGAGGTTGACTTGCACCCGCACACTGCAGTTTAGTTCGCGGGCGCAAGTCAACTTGTGACAGTTCACCCCCAGACAAAAACATCTGGGAGGATACTTTACATTTGTCAGGTTGATTGTGCCAGTCTCACTGAAATGATCTATGTAGGAAACAGAACTTGACTCTTGAGGAATAGGAAGAGCCAGGGAAAACTTAAAACTCAAGGCACATAGTAAAAATGTCTTCCCAAGTTCAGTTGTACAGAAAAGTACATCTTCAGGCGTATTCTGAAGTCTAAAATTGTCTGAAATCTCTACAGTTACTAGAGCCATTATGAATTTGAAACCAGTACTTGTTCACTCTGAATTTTTCTGTTAAACTGCCTGCTTATCTCACTGAAATCATGGGTATAGAAAACATAATTTGAGGAATAGCAAGAGCCAGGAAAACAAAACATACAGCTGTTTTCCTAGAATCAGTTTGGAGTATGGCCAAATACATTCCCAGGCTGATTTTCCAGGACAACATTTTTCTTGTCTCAGAAAATGAAAACTTGGCTTACAAGTTTTGGGCAATGGCAAGAACAAGAAGTTATTTAAAAGTACATTTATCATTCTGAGTGTCTCAATTTTAATTTGTGGGTGAGACAAATTTACTATGTTTACACTCAAAGTAATAATTTGATGAACATACTTTTTCTCCATATAAATATCCCTGTGTTTTTGTGGTTTGGACTTCTTCAACATCCCAGATCACTTCCCAGATCACTCATTATCATACCTTTTTTCAACCCATAATTTATCAAATCAAGAAATAAACGTAGATAGACATGTTGTTTCCCAAGATCTTAGTTGTCATTCAGCTCTTACATTACCAAAGTATTTTAGCACACCCACTTTCACTTTCAAATAATTTAGTTAAGAGATCATTAGCTATGGATACCAAAGAAATTATTCACCCAGAACAAGAATTGGCAAACGGGAAGAAAGATTGTATGTCAGATTTTTCATGAGACCTTTGTTTCAGATTGAATACTTTGTATTTGTTTTTCTTCTTGTTTTGGAGGCTGATATTTGATTATTCTCATTTTATACTGGCTTCTTTTACAGATGATAAACTGAGTTGTATGTTGATCTTCCTTTGTGTTGTTGGTCCTCATATTCATAATTCTGACAAACATTTTTTTTACTTGTGTCTATAGTGGGTAATGTTAATTTTGGAACAGGTCAGTGTTTTAAACCTTATTGAATTATCTTTGCACCATGGAGCAAGAATTCTGACCCTTGATTAATTATATACCACCTGACCTATCAGATGAGGCCAATGTCTTTCCTCCTGCTCAGTGCTCAACTGGTGAGTGTATATTACATCCCATTCCTCTGATTGTCAGGAAGAAGCAAAAAAGGGACTGACTCTTGGATCATGAACTTATTACAAAATCCAAATTACCTGGATGACAAAAATAAAAGCACCCCAAGTGAACACTTTGGAATCATTTGAACATTCAGATTTTATGAGAGACTCTAATTATTTGAAGGACAAAGGCAGATTGTCCTCAACACTGCCCCCACAAGCAATCCAATATCTTTTTGAACAACTGATCAAGTCACCTTCTGGAATCCCTGGCAAAGTGATTGATGTTTCCACATTCCTGAGAAATTATGAAAACTTTATACATGAAGACCCAAGCCAAGTCACCAATTTGTACACATGCATCAAAAAATATCTGCAGTTCAAATACTATGAAAACCCAGGTTACTTTGGCTCAAGACTTGACTACTCTTTGAAGCAATTCCAGGATGACTGATTGAAGTGAACATCACATAAGAGCCCTCCACTATCCGGGGTTTTTTTTTTTAGATTGTTCATACTTTGATGTTGAATTTCTTATGCCATTAGTTATTTTCAACTCTTTCAAGGATGCTGGTCCTTTCTCTTTTTTGGTTTGATGGTACTTCCCAGTTGGATTTCTCATTTTTCTTATCTTTGAGACCCTCACCATTAAACTGCCCCTGTTGAATTTCTCTTGTCAATAAAATCAACTCTGAATCTAAATATGGTGGCCTGTTGTCTGGGCAGGGCTTAAAATTAAGCTGCATTCATAGTCCTTGATCAGCAGTTCATATGTAGCTCAGATTACCCCCTACATCACCAGTGCATGTCTAGTTCAATGCAGCATTCAACATAACTTTCTGGTCTGAGAGCTTTTCTTCCCAACAACCATATTCTGGAGACATACACGCAGTGAGACCAGACACACAAAGGGAAAAAATTCATGTACATCTCATTTGATTTGATTTTAGACAAGTTGGAAGGGAAAAACATGAGTCATGAAATTGTTTGGGAACATCACTTGGGTAATCTACCAATAATATTCATAGGGGGATTTGAAAATTTCTCAGTTCAATAGGGCAAAATTATAATAAATAAAAGCCGAAGGGGAAAGAGGAAACAAGACAAAGAGGAAATAAAGATAAAGAAAAAGAGGAAAAGCTGTATCTATAGGTGTGATATACGTGGGTGGGTGTGAAGGGATGATAAAATAATGAATTCAAAAATTCGAAGAGGGCAGTTGATGATGTGAAGCGTCCCTGTTCAAAATGCCAGTCCTTTGGCGGCGGATTCCAATGTTCGTGGGATTGAGGTGCGGGGTTGGCCGGTGTTAAAAACATGCGAGATTGCGTATTTATTGATGAATTACAGCACAGTGCATCTCAAGAATCGCCCTGTTAGCAAACGAGACCGCGATTCCATGTTTGAACCCAAAAGAAATATTAATAGATGGTTTTTCGCAGGGGGTAGGGGGGGCATTTTAGCCGTGTTTCTACAAAACAAAGAGACAGCTTGTTTAGGACTGGACGGGCAGACAGGGGCAAATTTGTCGACGCCGCGAAAACTGAAACATACATAGAAACATTTGTTGCCATGAGGGCAATTGGGCCACCATTTACACTTGATATGTCGACCGTAAGAGTCATGTGCTGATACTATACGAAACGTTTACATCCCGTCAGCGATGATGAAAAACACGTTTGAAATCCATATTTCAGCCTGAACTCACTGCGGGGCTGGTTACCATCTTTCCCTTTCTTTCGGCGCTTGTTGCGAGAAACTCCCGCGCTCGGTCCGGTCGGAATGTAAGGCTCAGGTGCGTCCATTTTCTCACGTCCACGAGAGGCCGAGCCAGCGGCAGCACCCCAGCCATTATCCCGGATTGTAGTTGGGAATGTATCAGTGACGTGGGTAGTTACAACAGGCTGCGTGGACTTGAAATAGTTGAAAATGAAATGGTTTTAGTTAGATCGTTTGTGTGTTCACTTCTGCGACTTATTGAGTCAAATAGTTTGCTTCTCACCAAGTTGAGGCCACCTGATGCAGCCAAGAGCGCTTGCAGTGAGCCGCTCTGGGAAATTGAATTCAACAAATTCATGTCAAGCCCCGGGGGCAAAGTCGCGTCGAACCCCGAGGGATAAGGCGTTGTCACCGGGGATGTTTGGTTAGATAGTTCGGAAAGCGCGACGCCACCTCCACCAAGACGGGCCAGCAAGTCTGACACGGTGTGATCCGGAGCAACCGGCGCGTCCACTGAATTATCGGCCTGGGCTTTTGCAATCAAGTGCGAAACTTCTGGGTCCAGCAGAAGATTGCCGCCTAGTTTCATGACCTTAGGCAGACCAGTAGATCCGGTGTCACCAACTGTCCATAACTCCGAATCGCCCGGTTCATGTGGCGTGTGTGGAATCTGGGATTCATCCTCATATGTTACCCCAGGCACAGCTTTCTCTCTCTCTTCTTGGGCTGCGAGCTCAGCAGACACCAATGGTGAGGTTTCTAGGTTGGATATTGTCTCACTGGTCAAAATAACCTCTAATGGAGTCTCCCATTCAATTTCTTCTTCCAGGAAGCTATCGGACTGATGTAAATATCTGCCCTCAACAGCATCCATTTTCCTAGCATCACCAACAGGATGTGTCTGAAAAAGTTAACGAGGAGTCATTGATCAGCTATCTTGTTGAAGTGGATATTTATCAAACCAAGCTTACCTCATATTCCTCGCCCTCATAAACCAAACGTTCGACGATCTTGATTTGGCACAACTCGTTGTCGGCCACAAATCTGACTCGTTTAGCGAGCTTGCCGGCTGCGTTAGACAATGAGGTGGAAGTAGAGGGCGCTGTTTCTGTAAATGTACCTGTAGAATTTTTGCCTTTTAGTAACCCCATAGCTTGAGCAAAGCTATCTTGTACCACAACTGTAGGGGCTGGAGTTGGTTCGGTAGCCTTCTTCGTGAATGCCGGCAGCTTGGCTTTGTCTGGTCTTCCAAAAAGGTCGTTTGTGCTTTTACCCGCAGATGGCGTTGCAGTGATCGCGATCCTAGTAGTTTCAACCTTGCGCTTCTTGCTTTGATCTGGGAAAAAACGCAACTCCAGTCAGTCATCAAGAATCTGCATCATGCTTTACAGATCATGGACAAACTTGAATCAGCCGGCGCTTCGGTGCGCTTTTTAGTCTCTGAGGTTGAGGCAGCAGGATTGTTGACGCTATCGGTGCTCCCGTTCCTTAGCATCGGAGCTGCTACTCCACGACAAATTGCACGCCATTTCTGTTCCAATGTAAGTGACAAACGCTTTACACCTACAGACACGTCGCAGAATGATAATGAAATATCACACATCAGTACAAAAAGTAATTATCTCACGCCAGATACCAGGGCATGAGCAAGAAAAAAACCAACCCTCTGAGAATCTGTTCGCATTTTGTTCCTTATTAATCCTCATGACCTGTTTCGGAAATGTGTGATTCTTGAGATTTTCTATCGTCAGCGGGAGCTTCTCTAAAGTCTGAAAATTGGAAGCAATTCGTCAGCTACAACAACCTAGATCTGATGATCGACTCGCGAGAAAGAATGTAAGATGTTGGGGAAGCTGCAGGGTGGCATGTAGTATGAAGTCGCGTTGAGGGCATTTTTAAAGGCACATAATTTAAGTTTCGGGATCTTGAACATGCTATCCTACACCCTGGCTAACCCAGGGAGTTTGATCGCTTGTCACCGAGGACTTGAAGCCCGCGGGGTAATGTTCAAGTCGGGTTTTTTCCTTGTAATACAAGGAGGAATCATGGATCATTCGATCCAACCATGCGGGAGAGCGATCATAATGGGGAACAACTCAAGACATAGAAAATGTGTTACAAACCTGCAGAAGATGCGTCAATAGGGTTTCGCGTTGTAAGGCTTCCTCATCGGCGCCCTTGCCGCCAGACGTGTCTTTGGACTTGGCTCTCTCTTGCGCGTGAACGGAGCCCTTAAGCCACGCCTCAAGCATGGACAAACCTTTACTTTCGGACACCCAAGTGTTGTAAAAGTCTAGAGGTGCGGCGGCTTTTATGGCTGATAAAACTTCTATCCTACCCTCTGGAGGTACAGTAGACCAATCACCAGAGTTTGGAGTTGGAGAGATACTGTACATAGTCAAAATTTTGACTAGTTTGTTCGCTGATCTGGCGGGCGCTTTAGTGATGTGATCCAATTCGGTTCGAATAGTTGAAAGGCGACTCTTCCAAGCCTTTCGGTTGTATTGGTCTGCAGGAGTGATGGAACTAGAGTTGGATGATGAGTTGGGCTGATCTTTGGAATTGCGCTCCTTAGTTTGAGGGGAGTTGTTTGCCGACGGGTTGGGGATGGATTCAACCGAATTATCTTGGACCGATGGATTTGCGGTGCGGGGAGCGCCTTTCTTCGGTGGTGCTTTCTCACTAACAGGCGTACGGGATGAAGTAGCAGGTGAGGCTGCTTTTTTGGTCAAAGCAGCAGCGCTTCTGGTTCTGCGTGGACTGGGAGCATCCATGGACTGGGGAGCAGTTACCCGAGGCGTAATGTCAATTGCGGGGGTGATAGGAGCAACAGACTGATTCTGGGTTTGCGACGTTATGACATGGCTTGTTTCATGGCCTGCCATAAGAGCAGGGTCAATTTGTGCGAGCGGTCTTGTATTCCAATTACCCGACTCTGAGATAGGCAAGGAACCATTGAAATCTAATGACTGGTTGTTGTGGGCAAAAGCATTGGTCTGAGGTTCGAAATTTTTCTTGTGAGTATGTGGAAATTGCTCATATTGTGTAATCTTTGTTGGCTGCAGTGGGTGCGAGTATTGATTGGCGTTTTGTGGTTGCAAAGGATGAGAATGCGTGGCGGCAAAGGCAAGGGCTGGACTAGATTGAGCGGGGTGATTGACGTATGTAGAAGAAGTCGTGGACGACGGAAACAGAGAGAGTTGAGATGAATGCTGCTGCTGATTACTTTCCCCGTTCTCTTGCCTCGTGAATAAAACTTGAGAGTGGGGATACTGATGAGCTTGAACATCAGCTTGAAGATATGGGTGTGGTGCGTCTAGGCCGCTCGAACTGAAAGGGAAAGCGTTGGTCTGAGAGTTTGAGGTTGAAGATGATGATATTGGCGTCACATGGGAAGAATTGCCCATGTGAGCATCAGCTATGGCGCCAAGCTGACTACTAAAGGCATTACCCTGACCCATGGATGAGGGTGACTGGCCGGAGAAGGATATGGAAGATGAAGAGACTGTGGCAGGACCAATCCAAGCGGATGAGCATCAGACTGACAGGAGAGTGCACAATTGACCAAAAACAGGATACTCACCATGGGTTTTATTCAGAAGCTGATTGCTCGAAGCACGGGAGGCATCAGACGCGCTACGGTCAAACAGTTGACTTGCCGGACCTGGCGCGGCAACTCCATCGGATTGCGGGCTCACAAAGGGGCCAGACCTCGAGGAGTTGGACGAGTTACCGGGACAAGAATCTCGGGTGGCAAGCGATGAGGCGGGAGTGGGCTCGAGAAATGCCCCGTTCATGTTGGACGCACCATTGGATGGGGTTGAATGGCTGGCTGCAGCTGGCGCAGGCTGCCCATGATTCGCCGCTGCTCTGAGTCTCTGTTCGCTCTGAGCAAGAGCCAGGCGCCGTTTAACATAGCACAAGAGCGGCTCAGGAGCTAGACAAGCTTCGTCTATCGGGTCAATTTGTAGTTGGGCACGTAGCCACGGAAGAAAGTTGCCTCGTTTAACAAAATGATGGTCCTGTTTGCCGCGAGCCGAGTTTTGAATGAACCCGAGGCGGAAGGAGAAACAACAAAGGGGAGTCAACGAAGGGTCGTACTGGGAGTCTATCAGCCACCACCCAAGGCTCGGCCTATCTGTGCAAGCCGGGATGAGGCATGAGTCATGAGATGATGAAGGGAACGGTGGACTCACCCATTCGGTCTTGACATGACGCCAGATGCTGTTTGAGGTGGAGGAGAATGTCACAGCAGTAACACAAGTCAGTTTCGAAGTGTGCTGTGCGCTGCGCATGAGGGTTCACGAGGCTTCCGTGACTGGTAGGAGACATCCACTACTGCATTCATCGGATCACCGGTCGCTATGACCACATGCCGTGTGAAAATGTATGTATTATGTATATAGGGGGTATGTGTACTATGGACTTAGCGCAAGTTTATATGCATTTAGATCGTGTCAAGTCTCATATTCAGAACATTAGCCCTAATCCGGCAAGACCGTGTTGGGCTCTCGATAAAGATAAGCAGTGGATTACCGCTCACTTACCGCCGGTCTTGGGGAGTGGTTAGATCTTGAGCAGCGCATTGGAAGTGGAATGGAAGTGAGGAAAGGAATAGGATGGTGGAAGAAGAAAGCATTACTAACGGATCAGCTGGATCCAACTCGGCAGACGATGGTAGTTGGACGGCTTGAACGGAGGGATTGGGAGATACGAGCATCGTAGAACTGTCCATTGCAGGCAAGAAGCTCTTGATAACTTGGCAGGATACTATTCGAAGGGTTCGGAAGATTCAACTTTGATTCTGACTCAATGGATCCCAGTGTGAAGGCAGTGAGTTTAGAGGGTAATCCAAGATTTCTACAAAGTGCTAAGCCTGGATTTTGAACCGAAATGACAAAGAGAGGAGTGACTCGTGTCAGTCATCTCACGTCAACTGGGGTAAAGGTAGAGTTCTGCATCACAAAAGGACCTTTGCCTGTCTCATTGGGACGATCCGGCAAACGAATCTCATAGAGCCGAACATTCAAATACGAACAACATGGGCTGCAAAGTATAACTTACAAAACAGACAATCGAAGTCAGCCGTCCTTGGGGTGTCCACCTGTTATGAACGACTTAGAGTGCTAGTGTCGAGATCTCCGGGAAAGAATTATCACAGTACTAAGCAGTTTACAATGCTTGACGTTTGTGTACCCTCGTCGATGATGCCCTTAACTGCTAGTGTTCACCAATAACTAATTCCCATACCAGTTGCAATGGACGTGTGTGTTAGGCCGTTCAACAATGTGCTGAGGAAGGTTGGGACCTAATAAATAGTAGCTTCTTGAGAATATAATAAGATGAGAAGCCTACTTCTTCGATGGGATCCAACTTGAGATTCGGAAGATGAGACCAATCCTCGAGTTGAAGTGGCAATAAAGAGATCCCTCCTAGTACGGCGTGAGGTTCGCTTGATAGAAAAGCTGAGGAGAGATGAGTGTAATCGAGATGGTTACCGTTTGAGCGGTGTAGGAGGGCACCTCGTCGGTTCGTCTGAGCGACCGACCGACCAAGGTGGAGCTGTTTGGAGAACAAGTGTTAATAGAAAGACGAGATCCCAAGAGTAGGAACAAGGCCGTCGCTCTTGGTTTGGGATGTGTGTATGTGGAAGTATTTATTAATTTGTATCTTCAAGACGAACTTCGACTTGATTAAAGCAAGGGAAGAGGTAGAGTCTCTGGTTGAGAGCGAGCGTGCTGGCGGATCACCTCAGTGGGCCCTTACCACCTCAAGCCAGTCAAGACATCCCAGTGCCAACTGAACATGTCATCCTCACCGGTAGCGCACGGACAGTCCCGCCCAGCTCATTCGGGTTTCACTGCGCGCACCGCACGCTAGCCAGCCGCGCAGCAACCGAAGAAAGGGACAAAGAATCACAAAACAAAATAAATAAATATGTACTTCAACCACAAGCATTTATTTACGCTGTTCACTCGATTTTCAGCTCTCTGTGTTGAGTAAAGATACTCATCTCAATGAAACAGGAACAAGAATGGGGGAAATGGGTGGCAGGTAACATGAAGCCAATTGTTTGGTGGTTAAACTCCCTCTAAGCAGAACAGAGGGACCTTGGTTATGTACATATTTGAGTAGGATACTGCAAGAGTACCACTGAGTTTTCAACATGTTTCACACATAATTACCTGCCACTATTGCACTCATTGCCTTCCTGGTGTTGTATTTTAGTTTTGAGCTGTAATTCATTGTACAGTGGGTAGACAGTGAAAAGTGGCTGCTTATATTGGATTCCAGAGCTCCAAAACACAGACTTGACGTTATGAGACTTGTTCAGGTGGTGGATAATAGGTACCAGAAAATGAATATGAAAAAATAATAACAAAAAGTAAAGTTTCAAACTTTGTGAAGAATAAAAAATAAAACTGATTTTTTCAAAAGCTTTGATATTCATTTTGGGGGAGTGGGAGTGCTGAGAGAAAGAAAGAGTGGAACATGGGAATAATGATTATAAATGAAAAAAATTGGAACCAAAAAAAGTTTGGCTAGGTTGGTTGTCCAGATTGGAGCCAAAACAGTAAATTCTAGTGCTTTACTGCAATGTGGGCTGGTGAATGCCCCACTCAAAAGCTGTTTGAAGCCATCTGGAAAGCAATTTTTCAAAAAATTTCATTTATAATCATTCTTCTCATTTCCCAATCTTCCTTTCTCTCAGCACTCTCACTCCCCCAAAATGAATTTCAAAGCTTATGAGAAAAATCAATTTTATTTTTTATTTTTCACAAATTTTGCAACTTTGTTTTTTGTTTTTATTTTTTCATATTCATTTTTTGGGACCTATTATGCACCACCTGACCAAGGCTCATGACTGCAAGTCTGTATTTTGGAGCTCTGGAATGCAAAATAAGCAGCCACTTTTCACTGTCTACCCCCACTGTACACATGTTTATCTTTATGTCCAATTCTCTTTTTTTTAACTGTGATTTGTTTTTAATTTTCTATGAGAGTTTTTCTCCTGTTTCAAATCTTCATGTGCTAATTGCACTTCACAATTCTTTCTTCTCTCAAGTTCAAATGAGACCAAGCTCTTCTCTTTAGAGTAAGGCCCTTTCAAGTCTCCAAAATGAAATTGACCCAACCAAAGCTTTCTTCATATTTAAGTGAACTTTATTCTGACCATTCATTTAAAGATCAGTTTTTCCTTCATCAATAAGTATTAGAAACGGTGAAACCCATAAAATACAATACATGTATTTGTATCTGGTTTTCTCCAAATACATTTAATTTTGTCTGGTTTTTAGGGAGTTGGTTAAACAACTCCCACAAAGATCATTACCATTGGGAGTCATTCCTTCAAGGGCATGCCGTCTCTCGGGAGTAGGCCCACACTTTTCTTTTTGTTGTGGAGGTGCGCTCCCCAAACCACAACTCTTACATCAGGGCTTTGGGGTGTTGTCCCCACTTGGAGGGGGGGGGGGGGGGGTTCTAGCTCAACACAAGCCTCACCTTAAATTGACTTGCAAAGCAAGCGTCCAAAGGAGGGGCTTGTGAGCAAAGTCAACTTTTTGGCCTGAGAGCTTTTTTGGGGGGAGGGGGATTTGCCCTACACCCCCCCCCCCATCTTCTTCTCACACATATGCCCTGAAAGTTGGATCATTAAAGTCAGACATATCTTGCCTACAGCCCAACAAAAGAGGGCACTCTTTTCCTTTTGAAGATATTTAAAATCCCTAGTGAATATCATCAATTCTTGGATTTAGGCTATCCCCAAATAGAGACACATGTAGATGACCTATGCTCATGAAATCATGGACTTTGCAAGGCATTTTGAATCTGCTCAAAATAAAAATATAGACTCATACTCCATCAGATGGTAGGCAAGATCCACCCAGCTCTAATGATCCAACAGGCAGGCCACATGTGTGAGAGCAACAGTGTGCCAATGCTTTACAGTACAAAATATGGCTCCATATATGTAATGTATTGGCCAACTTTTTTCTATTTTTGTTGTTGTTCTTATTGAAAAACTACTTCAATATTTTTTATGTTTTGCAAATTGATACAGGCTGTATCAACCAAAAACAGCCTGTATTGGCTTTTATTGAGGGCTTTTTTCAAGACATCAATGTGATTGCTATCAACCACCTGCAGAGTCGATACACCCACAGACGCTAATTAAAGTAACAATTTTTTTTGTTACTTTACTATGCCTTTCTATTGGTGCATTGTTGGTGAGAGGAAGATGGGGGGAAGTGTAGGGAAATTTTCCCCCCACCAAAAAATCAAAAGCTCTCAGGTCAAAAATTTGAATTTACTACCAATCCCCTCCCTTGGGGGCTTGCTTTGCAATTAAATTAAATTGGGGCTTGTGATGAGCTAGGGGAGGTTGGGTGTTTCTCCCACTTGAGTAGAAAGAACCCCTTCTGTTTATAATCAGGGTAACTTTTCTCACTGACCTGAGGGAATTTCTTCCTGTCAGTGAGGTGTAACAACCTATTTGACCGGTCCGTGAGGTGTAACAACCTCATTGACCGGTCAGTGAGGTGTAACAACCTCATTGACCGGTCAGTGAGGTGTAACAACCCTAATTGACTGGTCAGTGAGGTGTAACAACCCTCATTGACTGGTCAGTGAGGTGTAACAACCCTCATTGACTGGTCAGTGAGGTGTAACAACCCTCATTGACTGGTCAGTGAGGTGTAACAACCCTCATTGACTGGTAAGTGAGGTGTAACAACCGTCAACAACTGGTCAGTGAGGTGTAACAACCCTTCAACAACTGGTCAGTGAGGTGTAACAACCATCATTGACTGGAAGGAAATCCTTCCAGTCAGTGAGGTACAGCTACCTCACTGAATGGAAGGTTTGCCTTCTGTTTAAATAGGAGCAAATCCCAACCCCCCATGTCTTATGAGAAGATTCCTGATATGTGATAATTGTATGATTGTACCTATAGATGCTTCTACCAAGTGTTCCACTACTACTCATTTGCCAGTCTCACTTAGTGATCCTTCCTCATTGAACACAAATTAAATTCTCTCATCAAGCCCACTTGTGAATCCCAGCAGCATTCTTTGTTTCAGTCATGTGTTGGTCCCCTCAACACATGAGGGGTGGTCTGGGGAGCCAACACCCACTGAATAAATCAAAAATAAAATTGGATGGCCAAATGCCAAGTCTGGCCATCCATTTTGAGCAAGAACTCCCAAAGTTTTTGATAGCTGTTGAACCAACTCCCTATTTGTATTGTATCAAAACAGATATTACACAAATGTATCAAAAAGCAATTATCTGGTCACAAATACTGTATTTGTGACCAGATAATTGCTAATACAGCCCAATAGAAAAAATGTGATGCTGTATCTATGTGTATGATCCAAATTGCTAGTTGAAAAAAGTCTAAAATGGCCAAAAATTAGTGTTTTGATAATATACAAATGTATTTCATCTTATTTTAGATACAATATACAATAAAAAAATTTCAAGTATCAGAAAAGAGACACAACACAAAAATGTATCCTGATAATTTCATATTGGTTTCACCATTGAATATAGTGCAGATTATTTTTATATTAGAGAGTGTTGATTTGGTGGATTTCTGATTAAAGAAATCATGCTAGACTGTTTCTTCAAGTATGCATCAATATGATCAATTAAAAGTGGGTTGCTAATAACCAGTGCTATGAGCAAAACTGGGCCAGCTACACTAACTGTAGCGGTTAGCACAGCGTAACATAGCAGAATTCCACTCAACTTTAGCGTAGTGAAGCGGAATTCCGCCACATCCACGCTAACACTACACGTTCAGGCCATGAAAAGGGCCCGCTATGCTGCGCTAACATGCTGGTTAGCAGTTTTTTGGCTGTGTAGCGGCAGTTAGCGGCTCTTAGAACAGCGTAGCATAGCAAAAAGTTGCTAACGTTTTGCTAACACTACACAAATTTGGCGCGCAAAAAGGGCCGCTACGCTAACGCTTTTTGGGCAAAAAGTGTAGCATAGCGTAGCGGCCCAGTGCTGCTATGAGGCTGAAACCATATACTTCGAATATAGAAGAAAGGAAAGTTTTTATAAAAAAAGAAAAAATAGAAAGGAGCACTATGAAATCTTGTTTTACAGTCAAACTGGTGGCAGTTTACATGCAGGTTACTCCCAATTTAACTTTGTGTCATACTGAAATCTATTACAATGTGAAGAATTTCTGAACAGTATCACTGCATTTTGCACAGTGTCTGAGCATTGAAGTATGGCTGAAGTAATAGCTGATTATCATCTGATTAACAAACCAAATTTCAAGAGAGTTTTTGTATGTCAACTGGCATAGTTTCTCATGATTTTTTACAGTGAAGCAAGATAAGAAAGTAAAGATTGATGAGAATATAACATAAATGCAAGATAATGAGAGACAGAAGAATAAGATTGGAAGACCATGAGTATTTGAATAAAAAGCAACCTAAGAAGGATGGTCCTGTTATTTCTCACCAATTACTTGGGAAGAGACTGTATCAAAGATTGGATTGAGAGACTTGATATCTTGAAGTTTATTTGGATGAATAAGTTGGCTTGATTTCTGGAGTGATTCAAATATGGAGGAGGACCGGAAGGAAAGGGAAAGGGAAGGGTAATGAAGTGGAGAAAACGAGGATGAAGATTGAGAAGAAAATGGGTGAACCAATGAGGTTTAAGGTGGTACACTGGCAACACTAAGAGATAGAATAGGTTTTGAGTGTTGATCCAAAAGAATGTCATGGATGTCTGCAGTGGAGTATCACAGGCAATTTCAACAGCTTTGCTAAACT